TGCAATAAGATCCAAGAGCTATGGATGAGATGTTACAAATGGTGGGGGATTTCCATCTCCCTCCCAAACTCTATTTCTCTTCTTTGCGAAGCGCATAGTCAAGGGATAAAGAAAGTAGTTTCAGCTGACGTGTGGTTTTTCATTTTCTTGGTGGTGACATGGTCAATATGGTACACAAGAAACCAAATCATTCACAACTCACAGCAATGGGAAGAAGACAAAATATTTGATTTAATTCAAAGGAGGTCTTTTGCATGGATTAGGGGGAAATTTGTAAACACTTTGTTCTCCTTTTTTAGTTGGTGTAATTTCCCTAGCCTATGTGTGCAAGAAATCACTAAAAACTAGATTTGTTGTTAATCATTTAGCTTCGATTTTTGAATGTCCTCATAGGTTATCTTTTGTAAGGTCTTATGGAGACTAAGAGTTGAGTACCACTTGTACTCCTCATCACAATAAAATATTTGATTCATCTAAAAAAATATTTGACTGAATGTGAATATGTTCATTTTTTAGTTTAATATCACATTGGATGCTAGATAGATCTATAAACATAAGTTTAGTTGAATTGATTAAAAAAAAAATTGTCAAGTTTTTGTTTAGGATATTGATTAGCACATATTTCGATTTAATATTTTGTACAATAGGTTCATTAAAAAATTATTATTTTTGTTTAAAATTAAAAGCAAATAAACTTAAAGATGCAATCATACCTATAATATATAAAAAGCAATTAAATCGGTTGTGCTTATATTATATTTTAATAGTTGAATGGGAATAAATATATGCCAAAAAGTGTAGCAAACCTACTAATCATTTTTCTTTTGTTTAGTTTGAGCTATTTTAAATTACTTATAGTTGATAATTAATATTTAACAATTATAAATAACAATAACAGTCAACAATCAAATATTCAGTAGCAATTATAGGAATATGTTAGAAAGAGTTAAACCAAATATAACCTAATTATTGCAAGCAATCAACTTGAAATTAGGGAAATAAGCTTAAACTATTCAGACTAAACAAA